GGAGAAGTTGAGCAACATCTTTGGCCATGTTTTGGGTGGCTTCCTTCTGGTTGAGACATTGGCCTGCTGAACGAGCTCGAAATGTAGCAAGTTTGTCCAAGTCTACATTGCGGGTGCGTAGTTGGGATACCAATTCGGCCACAAATACTGTAGTGCCTATGTTGTCAAAAGGAAGGACGAAGGTTTCTCTTCCGTATGCAACTCGACGAAGCCAAGTATTGTGTAAGCCCTGGTACAAGAACTTCCAGAGTGGGACTTGTAAAGGATCCATCCCTTCAATGTCCTTGTAGCTTGAAAATCTGCTCTGTCGGATTCTGGAAGGGAAGTCCAAACCATTGATTTTGTTGGAGTCGTGGAAGTCGACATCCGGTTTCCAGTTCTCCACTGGCGGGATTTCAATTGGTCTGCATGTATATCCTTCGTTGACAGAGGAACTTGCTCCTGGGGATGACATAGGTCTCGGTGATCTCGATGTAAAAGGGTGACGTTGAGGTGCAAAGTTGGCGTGGTTGGGAGGTGTCTGTGAGCTCGGAGGCGGCGTGGGCGGGAAAGGTGCCGTAGGTGAAGTCCATGGTGGGCGTGTTGGGAACGATGGAGAGGTAGGTGGCGGAGGCGGTATTCCGGAAGGGTTCCAAAAGGGTCGATGGGTCGTCATGGCATAGTGCATCGGGCCACGAAACGCCGGTACTGCTTGGTGCCATCCATGTTGATGACGAGGTGGAGTGCGCGAGCGATCCGGCTGGGAAGGAGGAATTCCATTCACATCCGCGCTATATTGGGAGATCAGGTCCTGGGACGCCATGATGTAGCGAGGGTCACGAGATAATAGATCAAAATGCGCTCGAACTGCCGAAGGAAAGCTGCGGAAAATGTCGAGGTGAGACAAAGGTAATGTGAAATTGAAAAAGTGTGAGACATAATACGTGGTCCCCGTGTGTGAAACGTGAAGTGAAAACGAATCGGCGAAAAGATCAACAATATGAGCATGCAGCGATTCACAAACCTTTTGAGGAAGAAGTGGCGGCAATACCGAATGTCGGGAGAAGCATTGTTACTCCAAAATGATCGGGCGGGCCACTAGGCTCACTGTATCGCTGACATAGAATAGTCGATACTAGTTCCGGTGCTTCTCAAGGGTAAATAGTTCACCAACGAGATCGAGAGTAGTGGGTCGAATGTCGAGAACGAGGTCGGCCTTCATGGTGCTGGTCACGAGAGTGGTCTTCCTGGTATGAGGATCGGCGATCTCGGTGGCTGTAGGTGGAATTGTCCCAAGAAGCATTGTCGTGCCAAGATCGGCGAGCATAGTCCCGAGAGCCAGAGGCAGCGGTTTCGCGGTGGCTCGGTGTGTCGCGAGAGTCGTCCGGGGGCGGCTCCGAAGGTTCAGGGGCGTCAGCAGAAGGGCCAGGTCGTACTGGACGTGTAGAATCATCAGGAGGTTCCGAAGGTGCATTGGTCTCTGCAGTCTGGTGTGTGATCAAGCCCGGGAAAACCGTGTGAGTGGAGGCAACGTAGCATATAGATGCGGCGCTTGAGTTCATAGCCGTTGCATTGTCTTTGCCCTTGGCGATGCCCGCAAGGTTGCACAAGCGTTGGATTTGGTCATTTCCTCCAGCTAGGGCACGGATGCATTTGGGTGAGCGGCATATGGCCATTAGGCCTGATGGGTTTTGTCCTTTGCCTATTTTGTAGAGCTGAGAGGTACAGATCTTGACAGCATAGCCGGGTAGGTGGTCGATGTCTGCGATCTCTGAGGACATTCCGAAGAACCCGTAACATGGGTATTGAGTCGGCATGCCGGCTTCGTTTTTGGTCCAAGTTGCCGGGCGAATGCAGTCCTCCGCAAGAATTTTGGCAACTGATTCCCAACTCGTTTTGTGGTAGATCAGGTAGGTGCCCATGTGTTCGCCACGGTAGATTGGTTTCTTCTTCAATCCTGTGGGAACCGTGATGGTCAGCAAGTTTTCTGGCTCGATGTAGAAGGCCTGTGTTTGCCTTGCGAGTTCGATGTCCAGTAAGTCGGATTGTGCAAAGGCCCTGGCAATATTCCTGACGGTGGCTTGACTTGCTTTGATGTAAATACGATGGTTGTTGACGGTGCGGTATGGTTGAGCCAACCTTTCGAACATCGCGTCCACAAACTGGTTGAAGAGCTGCGAGATAGCCGGGGTCAATGATCGGCGTAGAGGAACAACATGATCGGGGTCAAGTTCAGTCAGGCAACGGACCCTATGGGGGTCATTGGCCGCCGCCACCATTTCATCGAGGTCGATGTCATTCGTGTCAAACTTGGTGAGCGAAATTGTATCTGTAAATTCAGAATTTTCACTGTCGCCGTCCGGAACTCGGAAGGACACCGCGCCGAGTGGTGCTGAAGTGTGGGTTGGTGGGTTGGTTGGTGGTTCCGTTGGTGGTGGACCGGCAGGAGAATTGGGTCGAGGATTGTGGTGATGGTCGTTGTCGGTGTAGTGACTGTCGTTCCATGTACCCCAGGTGTCATCAGCATCGGGAGTGGGGATGTAGTTCGGATTCGATGGGTTTGCAGCTGGTCGGAGTATGACTTCACGGCCTCTGGATCTGTGACGTGGTGTCGCGGAACGTGGACGTGGCCGAGATCGATGACGTCGAGGGACCACGGGAGAGCGGCGTCGTGGTGGGGAGCGTCGTCTGTATGGAGATGGGGTTCTGCGGCCCTTGTCCGGTTTTGTGGATGATCGATGACGAGGGAGAGGAGAACGAGGTCGCTCTGCTCGTGGAGGAGAATAGCGATGGCGATGAGAATGTACCGAAGGTCGAAGGGAACGTGGTCGTGGAGTCCTAGATCTTGGTCGGCGTGTTGGGGATGATGGAACTGGTAGTGGATGAGGAGGAGCAATGGCCGGGGCTTGAACAATGCGAAGGTCCGGAACGTCAGGTTCGGTAGGTCTGGCTTTCGGTGCGGGTGGAGGTGTGGCTGTCAGTGGTGGCACGGGCGTAGGTGGTGGTATGTGTGGAATAGGGTTCGGTGGAGGTCCATCTTGTTGGAGAAGTAGCTGACGTTGTTCTTGGGCCCGTTGAGTATCCATGATCACCTGTTGCTGAGCTTGAATAAGTCGAACCGATTCCGCAAGTTGTTGTGTAGTGGAACCCAATGCAACCAGTTCGGGTGGCACGGATGACGTCGGTGCTGCCGTGGGTGCTGGTGGTGTAGTCGAAGAAGGGGCTTTTGAAGCTGGCCTGCGCGGTCGATCCATTCTTTTGTCAGAGCGAGGTCTGGGAGCTGCCTTAACTGCAGGAGGCCGTGGAGGATGTTCATCAGGAGAAACCATCAATGCGTTCGTTTGTAATGGAGGTTGAATGTGATGGGGTGGGTAAGGGGAACTTGGCAAAGGTGTCGGTGGCATAGTCGATGTAGGTGGTGGAGTCGACGTAGGAGATGAAGTCGGTGGAGAAGGCCAGGCAGGTGGAGCGGTGGGTGCCGAAGGAGATGGGAAAGTCGAAGGAGCGGTGTGCGCCATTGTGGGTTCGGAGGTCAAAGGTGCAGGCATGGTGGGTACGAGCTGTGGGCCTGGTACTGCATGAGGAGCCGGAGACAATGAGGTAAACGGCAACGATGTTGGGGATGATGTAGACGGCATGATCGAAGCTGAAGAAGACCATGTAGGATGCAAGGCTGAAGGATGTCCAAATAGATGTACGTTCTGTGATGATTGCGGCCACGTCGGAGGTGCGTTCGTAGGCTGCGGTGGAACAGGCCAGGACGTTGGCGGAGGGTTCCACGGATGCATCGCTTCAGTAGATGAAAACAAAAGTGAACAATCACATACAGGCTTCAGTCCCTAACTGCCTAAGATGTCGTGCAATTATTCCCTGCACCGGGACCGTGGTCAAGTCGTGCCACGAAGGCATAAAACAGCTTCCAAATTCCAACGAATTAGATGCACAAAATGTTTCACCTCACCAAAAACCAAAGAGACCACACCTGCAGGAAAAGGACATGCCTGTTGCCTTTTGTCGTGAATGTCATGTTGAACTTCAAATGCGCAAGCTGCAGAGAAAAAAGGTTTCTGGTAGTTCGAAGTGGCTTCACTCAATAGAGATGCATTCACTGGGTTCATAAAGGACAGCCGGAAGCGCGGGACATCACAAAAGGTGCAAAACGGAAAGGCCAGCTGTTGCACATTACGTAAACGAATTACCAAATTAAAATGTGTGAATTCAGAGTTCAAGACTGTCAACACTCACCCTGAAAAGGGTTGCCTCAAGTGGCTCCATGGCACCATGTCGGAGCCACCATGGAAATCACACTAGACAAGAATGGATCATTATATGATCCGGCAGGAACTGAATCCTGAAACATGCAAACCAGCCTAGATCGTTAGATTAGTAAAGGAGCCACATGAGGTACTTCTCGAAAACGATGTAGGGCATCCAATGTTGTCAAACGAAGTCAAAACCAGAATCCATAGAGTTTTAACCAGCATGTTGAGAATCCACAATAATGTTTCGGCGATTGTTTCCCAAAATAACCCAAAGTTCGTCGGCGACATGATCTCGGCGAAAATATGTCAAAAAATCATAATACTGTCGGCGATATGGTTTCGGCGAAAATCTGAGGAAGGTTCTGATGCATGCAATACAGATTGTGGCAACCGTGTAGATTCGAAACAACGCAGTGTAACAGCTTGATCAACAGTTGAAACCAAATTTTGCAGGTACACAGAGTTGATCAGACTCTGCTTCCAGCACAAGTGGATAGCTTCGTTGGGTGCAGTCTCCACTGTGCTCTGCACCCCCCTGCAAACTAGTGAAAACCAATCAGAAGTTTTACATCTGTTCAGATGGTACACACACACACACTCAAATACTCTATTCCCAGTACACGACTGAGGAGCTGGTGACCCAAGAATGCAAAAAACAAATGCCGACACGAAATTGAGCGAGAGAGCCACAAGATGAGCGGCTAATTCCCAGCTGGCCATGGCAGCCATGGCTATGGCTTTGCATCTGTGGACCCCTGCGAGAAGACAAAAATGGTGGTGAGCCAATGGTAAAGCCTCCGCGGATTCGGTCCAGGAATGTCCAAACACCAGGTGAATTTCACATCTTTCCAGAACAGAATGGAAACATATCAAAGATATCAAAGTCAATTGGGGATCATCTTCGGTGTACTGAGCTGTAGCCTCCCTCAACCATTATGTAATTATGTATATATATATGTATGTATGTAGGTATATATATATATACCTACATATATATATATATACATACACCTGTACATATATAATTATCAATATACACATATAATATTTGGATTACTGTAACCAAAAGTCACCGTCCTCCAAATCCACTTCCGGGTCTCTGTGACGCATCTGCAGGGAGCCGCCTCACTCGCGCAGGTGGCACTTCGAGACTTTGTTCTGGCGCCTTAGTTTGTGGATGGAAAGTTGGCCAACAGCGGAGACAACTAGGGAAGTGCTGATCAACAAGGCATGAACGACAATATAAAAAAACAAGAATAGGAGGAAAAGGAAGAGGAATGAAGATGATGAAAATTACTATAATTATAATGATGATACTTGTGATACTTATGATAGTTATAATCATATATACTCTAATGAATGACAGTTACATGGATGATTCCGATGATTCTCATGATAATGATAATCATGGTGAGAACAATACAGCAACATTCTCTAGCGTGAAAAACGAAGGAGGTACAGGGCAACAATCATTCAAACAGCGTATCACTATGAATGATTCTGAAACATGGCGATAGGATTGCAAAGTGCTTGCTCTTCCAAGCACGGATGATTCAAGTATATAATATACGTAGTGTGTATGTATATAAGTGTATATATAGTGTGTATATATATCATTACACATATACACGTAATATATATATATATATGTATACATATATACATATATATTAATATATATATATATATTACAAATACGTTATTTTAAACCTCCAAAATAGGAGTGGGAGCAAGTGACATGACGCATCCTACAGGAGCTATCTAGACAATGTTCAACACAGGTTCTAAAAAATCAAGCCAATCAAAAGATATTGGAGGTTCAAGCTGCGGGAAGGCGTAGTTCTACTGTCAATGAATTCAACCAGCTAACAACATCATTTGACATCACTGTCTGATAGAACTATCACGTTTCAAACCAGAAACCAGAGTCACATGTCACATATCGTCATATATCGTAATATATCGTAATATATCCACATGTCACTAATATCGGTCAACACATGATAACACATGTCACCGTACCAGAGGATTGCAACATCTTGTAACAACTGCTGTCCATCCAATGACGTGCGGCACGGAAAAATGGTGTCCATCCAACTGCAGAATCCCTGGAGATCAGCCACCTGAGTTCCTCTGAGTTCCACACTTGATATCTACACACACTCCTGAAGGCTTGCCGCGGCTTGCCATGGAGGCACTCTTGCTGGGTTATCTATGGTTATCTAGTTATCTGGGTTTTGGCTTTTGGAATAAATATGAATCAATTGCATTGAATAATGATTTTAGATGATTTTAGTACATACAAGATACGCCTCCAACAGTCACCCATTCCTTCCACGACATTTGAATTGTCCTTTGAATCCAGGTCTGAGACCCTACTATTGCAAAACAAAACGACTCGTATCAACTTGGTGGAAGCGTATGGGTCGAAAGAATTTTGCAAACGACGGCCAGGATGATATTTTAGTGGCGGTCTAAACCCAACTGTTTCAATACCCGCAAAACACGTCAAGTGCACGCCGACTCACCTCAGTTCTAGGAGCACAAGGAGATGTCTCAAACATCTTAGGTTGGGGATTTTTATCTTTGTCATGCCATCCCAAATAGAGATGAAAAAAACCATACATACATCAAGAAAAACCGAATAGTTCCAACCGCCTGCCACATCTCAAGCACTCAGATCTTTCCATCCCCAGCTGCCCACAAGGTTACAGTAGCAGGTTGAGACCCGTCCTGATCACCTGTCTATGAATCGATCTTCCACCAAGGTTGATGTGGTAGAAGATATTGAACTGCCAGCACTGCACTGAAACTTCAATCCCAAGAAGAAAAATAAATGGAATAAACAATTAGGGCAAATCTGCATGGCTACCTTTTGCTGAACATGTTTTTCTTGAGGCTGGGGATGAGACATCGAGACATGAACCCTTCACAGTATATTCTCCCACTTCAGACGTTGAATTATTTGTTGTTCTGACTACCCTGATGGTTATGCTTCCTTCTACATCTTGTACATTAAAACCCATCCTGCAACTTTGTGGTTTTTGGAACAATCATCCGAAGTAGGATGAGGATTTCTTATATATATATATACTAGATACATATAATAATATGTAGATACACCTATGTATACAGTATACACATGTATACACATCGTATATTAATCTATCAGCTGGAGCGATCCCAAAAAAGGCTTTCGGTAGCGTCCGGGCGACCGGGCCATGGCGACCCAGAACCACAGGACCAACGGTACATCGCAGTCCTGGAAACCCAAGGGGTCCATCGGGCTCCGTGGCGAAACGCGGGCACCATGGCCATGTGCAACAAACATCAACAACCGGTGCATGTACCTGTGCGATGCATACATATAGAATATTGAATAGTGTTACTATACCATAATATGAAATCATCTGTATGTTCTATATATAATTATAATTAATTATATATATTATATAGAACAAAACATGACAGCCGCAAGTATATACGAACAATGCGCACCCTAAGCTCAAATAGTTTGAACAATCCATCAGCAGGAGTCCCTGAGGGAGAGAGGACAAAGACACAGAGTTGGATCTTCCAATACCCTAAAACCCATCTAAAACAGAGATATATTGGTGCTGGAGCGGGGTTAAAAACTGCCAAGACCTGAATATCGAACGCGAATTATATCTAAGTCTAATCATTGGATCAATGTCCACCAGTCAGTGGTTTCCACACCCTGAAAAAATTAGGATCGAACGTTGGGCATCCTTCCAGTTGCCAGTTGGTCATGGAGAGGCAACATGTATCCAGCCGCGCCCTGCCTGCCGCTGTTCCAGAACATAACCTGAGTGAAAAACATGCTGCAACACATCAACCACTGGTGCTACAGGATGTTTCAAGAACATATCTGGAAAAGGAAATGTGGATTGTCCTTTAACTTGCCATGTTTGCTTCTCAGAGGGTAATCATATTGAACAAGCCAAAGTGCCCTAGAGGCCCTAGATCAAAGCTTTGCAATGCTCACGATTTCTTCCATCATTCAAGTCTCCGAAGTCATCGACTGGCAGGTAGCAGTATCACTGACCCATCTGCGACAAGAAAAGTTCCAAAACACTCATGCCAAAACAGCAGATTTTCATAGATCCGTTTTGATCAACACTGAGGGTCTCAATGGGCTCCTGAAGCCAAGACAGTTCAGGGTGTATTTGATTTCTCGGAGCTCCATTGTTTCACCACAAAAAAAAGGCTTGGGGCATGCCCAAAGCCATGCCACAAAGGCTTAGAAGCCATCCTATTCAGATCTTCTAAATGACCCTGCAACAGCCAAGAGACTGTAGATGAGGTAGAAAAAAAGTACCAGACTCACTGGCAGCAAAGCGCCTCAACAAATCCCTCCAGTGAATCTGGCGATCCCCCTTTGGAGATCTCGGCTGTGTCATCTGTGGTTTCCAAGCTACGAAATTGTTTGATGGATCTCTGTGGGTGTTTCATGGTGTTTCTGCAAGCTGTGCTGAGAAACCACTCTGCTTCTTGGTACAGGATGGTACAGGAAATCAGGGATGTTGTCTGTTGTCTGCATCCCTTTCCGCGCCCCTTGAGGCCATGACAAATGATGCACCCAAAAAGCATCACCCATCGTGTGATGCTCGTTTCGATCACCTCGAGATGGGCCATGGGATGAGGATGGGCCTGTGCAACCCCGGTCAACCCTTGACACCCCGCAAAATGACTTGAGCAAATACAGACTGTTACAGATTGTAACAGAAAAAACACCACCATTTTGCCGCATGGAAAAAAAACAACCCGCCTCCAGTTCGCTTTGTCTTACCAGCTCATGATCCGCCTGGGTGCATGTGGCTGCATCCATGGCAGGGAGCTCCAAAGACATGGTTTCAGGTTCTCGAAAATGATCAACTGGGTTCTTGCGGCCTAGTTTTCCCAAAATCAGGAATCAAGGGCTGTACATCTGATTCACTTGGATCAAACCAAACTACCCAAATTAACAGATCCAAATAGATCCAAATAAATCCTAGAAATACTTTATTTTGATTTAAGCAGAATGGTGTGGAACATGGATGGACAAGGTGGATCCGCGTCGATTTAGCTGAGCACATACCGTTCGAACGCACGAGATGGTGCTCGCAAAATGGGCACATGACTGAACCACGCAGGTTGCCGGGCTACGCCTTTTGACGGTGCATCCCATCCATTGGATTTTTTTTTTTTTTAACTAGTTCATTGTAGTTCTATATATACATATATATATATATATGTATGTATATATAATATATATATATATATTATCTTATAATTCATAATCTTATTGTTGCTGAAATTCCTATAGTTGGTGTCATGTCAATTTTCTTGGAACGTTCCAATTCCAGGGATGACCTGGCTGACCCCGTGCCTGTGCTGGCGTCAAACCCATGGCGGTAAGCTCGGCTCTGGAGGGCCTGGCACGGTATCTTCAAAAAGGATTTTCAGGTCATTAAGACCAAGATGGTAGGGTTAATTAATTATGGTTCTTAAATGGATTTTCCAGGATTAACATCATGGTTCTTAAATATGTTGATGATAATTAAGAACCATTGTAACCATTGTGAACTAATTGTGAATGGGTTAAGAGTCATTCTTGATGGTAACTACTACCAACGACAATAACAATAACGGTGGTTATGAATTAATAGTTGGTTAGTAACTTGTTAAAGAAACACTGTTGTTTACAGTATATTTGGTTATAACTGGAACATGTGCTAATACACATGGCTAATGATAAACCATGGATATCTGCGGAATTCCGCGGATACATCATTTTGTTGCTTAAGTATTAACTACTAGTTGATCTATGGTTAATCGGTAATCATGGTTGTAAGAACCCATAATCACAATCAGTGACATGCTTAGTACCATTTTTATTAGTCCCATCCCCCACCATTCAGTTCCTTTAGATAAGCTCCAAATGACTAGATCCAATACAAAAAACACTGGTATTCAAGGAGTATTCGATGCGGAAGGGTTAAGTTCAGAGATTTGACAAAAGGATACACGCCAGTGATATAGTTTTGTAATGTTTTATATGTCATGTAATTACTGAGACTGTCAAATTATGTAGCCGGGTACATCCAGTCACTAATTGGCATTCAACTCATTTCATACCCAGTAAAAACTACCACCGCAAACCGCGCCTCTGATTCCGTTGCTGTTGGAGTTGCATCACCTGATGCCAAGTGCCACATTCATGGATATTCAATAGATAGACAGCGTCTATACAAGAGGCCTCAAGACTCTAAGGATAACTAAGGATCATTAAGGATCTATCTTTGGTTGGGGGTACTACTTAACAAACATATTACTGTAATCTATTGAGCAAAAGAGCCGGCTCCACCGGCAGGGCAAGCACATGGCACCAGGTATGAGCTCGCGCATGGTGACGGGGAGCTCAAAAAAACATCTCTGTTTTTAAGCACCCTGTACACCTCAGGTTTCAATCAACCCCGTGTGGCAGTTGATGTCTTGTGGGTTGGTGATCCTGCATATTCTGCTTTGTCTGCAGGTAGAAAGCCAGCTGGTGAGAGCAATTTCAACATTTGTGCATTAAAAAATGGTACAACCGTCAACTCAATTTGCTTAGTAAGGCTGCAGGTTCTTTTCTTGTTGTTTGGTCATGCCTATGCAAGTCTGGTTGGTGGATAAGCGGCTTATTATCAAAGAATGGGATCAAAGTTGTTCAACATCTCATGTCCTTGCTCCAACAAAGGCTCTTCGCACTGCAAATTTTGAGCCAACAGAGCATGTCAATTCCATCCCAGCTCCGGAGAGAAAAAGGTCACTGGTATGATACTTGTCAGTAGGGATGATAATCCCATCATATTCCGGCAAACATGGAAATATGATAAAATATGCACTATATATTTGAAACCAAGTTGAAACACTATAAGGGCTTCTCGTTGTGTTTTTCATGTCAATCCATGGGTGGACTGTTGCCACGTTCTAAGTGGGCTTGGAGTCATTGGCAAGTCTCTGGGAACGGCACCTGCATTTTATATCTACCAGGTTTCGCCAAAGAAGCGTAGAATAACTATATATATGTATATATATATATATATATTATATGTATATATATATATTATATATTATATATATATATCGGAAGACATATCATATCCGATACACTGGAGAGCTCTACAAACAAAGGTCATGGGACAAACAAATGAAGAATCACTGATCCGCGAGACTAACAAATTTTGATGGTATTCTAATTACTGAAGGTCATGATGGCCATGTGACATGCCGATGACATCATGCTCCACTCGCTTCAATCAAGCTGACTTTGTACAGTCAGAATCGATCTTCCAATCAACCCTGATTTTTAATCATGGTCCCCGTGCTTTGCAGGGATCTGGGAATGGGTCTACTACTACTATGTCCACAAGAGATCCCTCAACCCACATTGGCTGTCGTATTTTTTGAAGGTGGATCAATCATCCAATAAAAAGGGGCCGAAATTGACCCAATTCGGGATTGTCTCAAATTGAGGCACTATTTTTTCAAACATCTTCATTTTGCCATATGTGACCTGTTAAAACTGTAAGCCTGTGATCTCAAACCCATGGTTCTTGCCTGGAGATCTGACGCCGGTGAACTCTCACTTGCTAACTCTTGCTACCGGTAGGTTCTGCAATCTCCTTAGCCAAAACCCATAGGGGTCACTGAGAGAATGGGTCGAAATTGATCATCGAAAAAAACACATATTATGCTTTCTTGTTGGAAACCTAGGAATTTTCAATGACTTGATATGCCTCGAAAACCAAAAGATCTTCCCTTTGTGACCTATCTGATTGGCATGAAGCATTCCTGGATTTTGGACTGTCACTGTTAGGGCTGAATCCCAACAGTCAAAGGCACTCGCAGTGGTATAAAAAAATCAGTTGAATAGCCATAAGTATCCATCAGTAAAACCCCAACAGCCAGGGAAACACTCAGAAATTAACCTTATACATGTTGGGATGTTCATCTCTACAATCTAAACACTCATTTCTACATATATTTTACAGCATTGCAGTTTGCACATCACCAATTCTACCAAGCCTCGCTGACCATCCCAACGCAAGAACAAACCCTGCTTGTAGAGGCAGCGCATCATGTAGCCTTAGGCACCGCAGGACGATTTTTCCAGCAGGGCTGCCTGCTGACTGCAGGATGATGAAGCGCCAACAATTTCCCAAATTCTGGCGCTTATCACCATCTTCCCATAAAAAGACAGCCATTTTGGGGCATAGGGTATACAGTGTTGCGTGATTTCTGGGAAAAAAATGGTAAAACAGGGGAACTGGGACAAGACAGGTTGGAGGTCAGGTGGGAGGCTGTTATGTTTTTGTTCAATGTTGTAAATCTAAATGTTTGATTGTTTCTTTCTGTTAATCTTGCTAAATGTTTCGTCGGAGTTGTTTGATTAATGTTTGGTTTGGTTGAGGGTAGTAGGGTATGTTGAGGTTGTTGTGGTTTTACTGTATCTCATGTTCATTTGATGCTTGATGCTTTCTTCGTGTCGTTTCATTGTATACTTTCTTACTTCACATTTACAAATTGGACATTCCAACGTTTCTTTCTTTTTATCACTTAATTCTTCCTTTTTCCTTTCGTAGTATTGTTGAGCATATTGTTTTAAAGTTTCTTTGTGCTGTTCCCTGTATCTGCGTTTGTTTTCTAAACATTTATTACACTGCTTACATTCATTTTTGTAGTCTAACGGTTGAAAGACTTTACATTTAGAACACTGCTTTTTGTCAGTCATTATACCTCTACAATTTTAAGGGGTTATGTCTTTAAGGGGTTTTTAGGGTGGATTACATCATAATATATTTTATTAAGATATTATGAACTAATCGTTAGGTTTATTGTCTCCACTCTACATCACCACTACCTATTCCATCCCAACATTGAGAAACAATCGTTTTGATGTTGTAGAACACCAAAATGATTGTGTCTCTATCAAGTCCTCGTTGGTCAATCAAGTATCCCAACACTGACAATAGTGTACAATAGTTTTGTTGTAATGCTGTCATTCCTCCTCTATGGTGTATCCTCTCACCGTGTTTTTTGATTAACTTTTAAATCTTTATCAAATATGTTTTCATAAATTTCTTTCATAAGGTCGTGGTTTATCTCTCCATACTCTGCGTATTGCTCTAAAGATTGTTTTTGCTTAAGTAGTAGGTCATATTCTATAAAATTATAATCAGGATAAGGATTTTCTTTTATGAAATTCATTAATCTTTATCTATCTCTTTTTAGTTCCTCTTCACGAACTCCAATCATTGGCATTTTTCACTTACTAGATATAGGTATTTTTTCTTTAAGTATCTATCACTTTTTGTAGGTGTTCTTTTATTTCATCTTGATTAATGTAATGCTCATAGTGTTTGAATAATTCTTTAGTACATTCACGCAAGAAAAACTTGAATAGGTCTTTTAATCTGAAATCTATATTTTTAAATTCATAATAACGGTTTAAGCTAGGAAACATCCAAGAATTCTTTATTGCTTTTATATTGTGAAGGTCTTCAAGCATTTGATATGTATGTTCCAAGTTTTTCTTTACATAAGATTTAGTCGCTTGAAGAAATATGCCTTTCTTCAGTGTAGGACTTTTCATCAATATGTCTATTTCTCTTCTCATTGTCGGTCATTCACATTATCAGACAAATCTATTTTCGATGTTTCCATCCTTGTTTTAAAGACATATATTTGTTTTTCTGCTACTGAATTGATTTCTTTATCTTCAAAGTAGTCTTGATTGTATGTTATATATCTATACCCCTTTTCTCTCAAGTCTTTACATTTTGAACAGTGAAGATTATAACTACATATTTCATCACAAATTCCAGCCGGAAAAATGTTGTTCAATAAAACCTTAATGTCAGTAATTTCTTTCTTACAACATCCGCAGTTTTTAAAAGTAAATAGCATCCTCTTACTATATATAGTCATTTTTTCTTTAAGTAGTTTTTGGGGGCTCGTTCAGTTTTCGGGTTCGGGTTGGTTTTTGTTTTCCCTTTCCTCCTCTTCCAGTTCCTTTATAACCATATCAATTTCACTCATTCCTTCATTGGGATCTTGTCCATTGGCGAGGTTTCTTAACCTCTCAAAATCCTTCACTTTGTGTCTTTCATTGGGTGGGAGGGTTTTGAGATGTTCCTTCAACTCTGTCAGGTCAAAGTATGTGTCGTGTTCTTCATCCTCATAGTTCATAAACATTTCCATTCGTTGCTTTTCCATTTCCATAAGTTTGTTTTCCATCTGTTGGAATTTAATTTGCTTCTTGTAGCACTTGCCACAAACATTCACGAAGGTTTTGAGCAAGTAGTTCCCATTAGGTTGGTTTCTATCGTTCAGGGTTATAACATCTGTCATTATACGACATCCACAGTCAAATTTAGTCATCTTATTTATTCTTACTATATATGTATTTTTTCTTTAAGTATATTTTTTATTGTTGATAATTTTTAAAATCTAATATTATAATATATGGCAAGGAGACTATCAAGAGATGACATCATAAGTGGTATATCCTTTTCAATCACTCCCAAACACTCATATTATCCCACTATATCCCATCATATGAACATGGAATAAACACATGTCACATCCCCAATAGATTGCACATATCCCACTTGAAACGAGTCACATCCCCATCATATATCATCATGTCGTATAGATGGAGTCGGCGCTCAGCCAGCGCGACGGTTTTGAAGTTTTGGGTGTTCAATCCTTGCCTCTCCCCACAACCCACAAAAAATATCCCTATTTTCTATAGCCATTGTATCATCCCAACCAGTTGGGATATCCCACAATATCATAATATGCATATATATATGTATATATATATGTAATTGGGTTATAGGATCATATCCCAATTATATCCACAGTATGACCGGGATATATAGATACATCTATCCCAAATAGATCCAAATAGATGGTAAATCTCACCATTAAGATCATTAGACTATCCCAAATGGGTGTTTCCTGAAATTGGGGTACCTTCAAATCATCCAGTCCTCATGGATGACTTAGTGACTTAGTATCTTTCAACCTCTATGGTGACGCCTGGGGATCCCTCATGACTTAACACCCACGGCCCGCTGAGCGAAGGCACCCCATTCAGGGCAGTCTGCCGCCTTCCGTGCGGTATCCTCGGGCAGCTCGCACGTGGCCAGCACTGAGCGCAGCTCTGGAATACCTCTGGCCGGGGTGAAAATAGTGGAATTTTAAGGTGAAAATTGACGACTATTTTAAAGGTACAGATAGGTACAGTATATATACATATATATTTATTTATTTATTTATTATTATTATATATATACATACATATATGATATATTAATATAATGTATATATATATAATATTGATAATTGATATAATTAATATAATATATATATATTATTGATATAATATAATATAATATTGTATATATATATATATGTATATAAATTCATCAAATTACACTAAATTAGATTTAGATAGAAGACCAATCTGATGTAGTTCTGCCTCTGTGTCATTAATATGTGTTGAGGTGTTTCAGCAATCCGTTCAAAACCCCAAGTTGTAGCTGTTGTAGTTGCTCAACCTGACCCGTCTGGTGGTGGAACCCTTTCAGCACAGGCACAGACCAAAGAAGCCACGCAGCAATAGACGTTCCATTCCTGGCTGCGCAAAACCAGAGTTGGAAAGGCATCCAACGTATTTACAAATCAAACGCGTGTTGCACACATACATATGATCCATAGCATGTCCATAGGTACTTTACAGATTAGGGCATGATATAACATCGATAGCATGTGATTCTTTGACTTTTTGCATCTTTTTATATCTTCATCCCCCCTTTTTTATCGTCACTGCACTAGGCATCAATCGCGATGGCCATCCCTCTGGGCCAAGAATCACAGGCTCCACAATCCCATTTCTCCTCGCCCAGCCAGGAGCGAAAAATCCGGTTGAAACATCGATTTCTGTGGCGTTTAAGCAATCAAAAAAAAAACTGTTCATCAATTAAACATGTGAGATATGTTCAATTGTTTTCAAACGTGTAATCTTTTATTTGAAAAGTTTCAGAAGTTTCTGTAGTGCAAACAGTTTTAGATCCTTGTGCTTTTGCTGATCAGCACGTAACGGACCCTGGTCGCCACGTCTCCGCCACTCTGTGCCCGCGCGCCTTGGTTCGCTCAGTCCATTGTGCTGCACAGCGCGTGAGCTGTCGCTGGTGACGGGTGCAGCGATTCACCACCTCTGCTGGGGCCCGCACAGGGGGGGCCTGGTGGAAGCGAAACATGGTACCGTGTCCAGAAACATCCGGCGTGGGATTCATGGGATATCATAGGATACATGGGATAGAGTACCTGTATCTTCCTGACGATCCCCTGGGAGATGCAGTGATTTGGGACGCTTGTCTTCAGCTCAGTTTAACATAGTTTAACCACTCCTGAAAGGACCACTGCGCACCTCCAAGATGTGGCCATTGGTAACATGAGACTCCTGCTGCGGCAACTGGGAATGCATCAAGCTAACAGAACAACCGGGCGGCTTGAAACTGAAACGTCACCCACAACTGCACTCAACGGCCATATTTACGACCTCGGAAGATCTAGGTATTGGTGAATCTAACATCTTGAATCCATGCCAGATTTCCTATCAATGTTACGTGCCTTTGCTGAAGGATTTGCAATCAAAGCATTCTTCAAAATGCTGCCAGCAAATGATAATAATGTGAGATATTATTATATAAGAGTATTCCTGTCAATTTTGAGTCACTATCGTTTCCACATGTCAAACTCAAAACATAGAACTAGTGTCCAAAAACAAATCTGCACTCAGGTTCACGCTGCTTGAAACATCCGATGGCAACCAGGGTGTCCCCATTTTTTGTTGGTAGATTCACACCGGTGCCACATTGTTCCCCACCATATGATACCCATATGATACCCATATGGGGATGGGTCAAAACCCTGGTACCTAGTGAACCTCAAAATAGCTGGTAAATGGATGTTCATCCCATTAAAAATGGTATTAATAGGTATTGATCCATACCCATATTGATACCCAATGGACCCTAACATGGACCCAACGTCTCCGGCCGGAGGTTGAACTGCTCCAACGCGGCACAGCACTTCTTGCCCATCAGCATTGGCTCCCAAAGATTTCACCAAAAACCCTGGCTGTCAAAGATGGCCCAGTTACCATTGGCCAATTCGAACAGTTCAAGTTGGAAGGTGTCGAGTTTTGAAGATGGTAGAGTACAAACACTGCTTCGACATTTCTTGAAATTAGTGAGCTATTTTTAAGAATCCACCGTAGTTTGGATTCCACCCCAACAAAAACCTGGTCCAAACAATGGTTTCCACCTTAAATTTCCCAACAAACATCAATCAACCAATAAATTGACTCTGCAATTGCAGGATCAGGTGCTGAGCCAATGCGCCAAGACAAACTCATCATAACTCATCAATATAGTAATATGTAGGATTGGTAGATAACTAGGTTCTATATAATCATAACATAATCATAACATAGCAACAGCTACCTATGTCACAGGGTGCCCTGCAGAGTTGTCTCTTGAAACACTTCTGGGATACTTGTTGTAATTTATAAGAACTTTGGAAAAGTGGTCACATGATTGATTCCCAACAATATATCATCTGATCATGTATTGAATGTGTCAATACAACCGTAGTAATCTGGCAAACCTACACGGCCTTGTCAATTCACAAGTTGGTGAATTGCATTCACAATGGTCTGTGTAAGTATATAAAGGCAGGGAAGCATATTGTATCTTATTGTTGTAATTATATTGGTTTGTGCTGAAACATGCCTGCATCAGCAATCATCATCACACATTCCATGGGCGAAAGAGCCTGATTTTCTGGGACGTCCTGCCCCCCCCCCTCTCCGCAAAGAAAATCGGAGCCATTTTAGGGGATAGGTTGAAGTTTTGCATACCCATCCCAAATCTTTCATGATTTGTTGGATACTGTATCAGGCACCCATTTTTTCGGGTGATATATACCCAACTTTTTTTAGATTTATCAATAGAAGGAATGCACTCTTCCGCGCTAGTTTTCCTCAATCATACCAGCCGAGCGCGAGACCGTCTTTTTTACGGAGCTTGCATCATCGTGCTGGAAACAACACTCCTAACTTTGGGGAGTCAGTCGTTCCATCTCGCACATGGCCGAGTGCTTCGGATATTCTTCAACCATCATTTGCATGGAAAGTCTGTGGAAGGATCACAACTGCAACTGATAATCCCTGAAAATTACGACCTTGGAAGGAGATCCCCTGAAACAGGATCCAATATTCGACACCAAGGCTTAAAGGTTGTAAGCCAGTTACAACTGGGACAAGTTGGATGATTTGATCAAATTTGATTTGATGGGATCTTTGTGGGCGAATTAGGTTCTTTCCAAGCCTCTGCCAGGCCAAAAAACACACCGAACTCCCAGTTTTGGGAGGCGTGAGACTCACATCACTTGGCACCTTGAGCATTTTGGAATACATTGGGAAATCAAACACAATGAGGATATTCCTTGATATTATGTGATATCTAATTCTGGATCGGCATCCCCTTTATCTCCTTTGTTGAACTAGACCTGACAACGGCCAGCAGCAAATGGATGCCACCAAACCCTTGAGGTCCAAGCTGGTCATGCACCTCAGCAGAGCCATCGGAGCCAAAGAAATGACATGTACACAGTGTACACAACTCGTGCTCGTGCTATTGAATCACAAAGTGAGAGGCAGCCAAATCTACACATGAAATCTATGCTAGATATTCATAAATATGCATAAATATCTATAAACACGTCATGCGCATCCTGTGTCCCCGCCAGAATTTCAAAGAATTTTCACATGCAAATCACTGGGCCGTTGGCATCCTTGGGAGTAGTGCTGGCAGCACCAAAGCTTTTTGCCCTCGGACCATCCAGCTCTCCAGTTTGCAAAGCCTGCCAGTGCGATAGGTTGGTTCTTTCAGCCCATCTGAAACACGTTGGGACCACTGGAAACCATTGATCAGCTGCATACTTCTAACGAAGCCCATGACTGGCGTAACGTTTGCTTGAAAAGATACGCCCGAAGAAAACTAAATCTATGGTGATCGCAAGTGCTGTCAACTCAAGAATAGTTGGCAGGCCACAGGCTAGCTTTCAATGCCATTTCCATGGCCCTGAAAAATTGCACCCGGTGGGATCCAATACCGGCCCAATACCCATTGTTGTCGCGGCATAATCAAGAAGTAATTGGCAGAACAGTACAAACAGCAAAAAGATTTCGTACGACTTGATGGTCTTTGACATCTATAAATGTTACCCAAAGACAACCTTAACATACCTTTAATTTGACTTTATGTGGGATATTGCTTTGATATATTTGGTTTATATTCCTCGAACATCAATCCTTGGACAAACGTTGCCCGACCTGCCGAGCAGTCGTAGGACTGCTGCAACTCGGCGCCATCCTGGACGGGCAAATGGTCTGAAAATCAGGGGACAAAGAACACGTTCAGAACATCCCATGGAAAATATCGTGGAAATACCGATAAAATACCTGGCAATATCATGGACAGTCACAGTTTACTGATAAACCCATAAACCAGGAAAATCCAGACATCTCGATTGTTTATCATACGCTTGACACACCAAACAGGCCCAAAATAACCATCGCCGTCATGAGAGATGGTTAGTCGAACATCTTTGAAACCGCCTAGTGGGCCTAGTGATGATTGAGTTCGGAACCACATGGAAATAATAGGCAAGTGAATCTTAGTGATAATGGTGGATGGATCAAAGCCTGCAGCATGTAGGATGAAAACCTGCAGTTCATACAAGTTCACTGCCACACCCAAATGCCCAGTGATAGCAACCCCGCAAATTATTCTATGCCTATACTTGCAGCATCTTGCAGCTGCCAGCCCTTGAAACTAGCAACATGGAACCTCCAAAAATTAGCTTTGGAATATTTGGAAATCATGTTCTACAATATTCTTGCTCGGAAATGCTTGATTTCGATCCGCGTGAATTTTTAGGGGGCGTGTCAACAATATACAATTTATTACAAATTGACGATATGCCTACAGTGTACCAGTATGGAAACATCATCGGTGTTCCTAGCACAAGTTCAAGATTCTGACTAAACCTTCCAAATTCATCTTCAAAATACAATGTACTATACATCCCTCCCTTCCCTCCCTTTACCATATTGGGGTTTCACAAAATTGGGGGGGTACCCCCAAATCATCCCTGCTGATAAAATCGCTTTTCCATTATAAACCATCCACCTATTGGCGTATTGATGGAAACCTTCATAAATCTCAGCTGAGTGGCGCATCCTATGGTGAGATGCCAACAACACCAGGCCTTCCTTGGGCGCTGTGCACTGTGCAGTTTTGTACTGGACCCAACCAGGTGACATGTCCATAGGGGATTTCGGGTATGATATGGTATGAATATATATATATATATTTCTATTGATTTCTATTGATTTCTATTGATTTCTGCCTCAATGACCGTTCATCGGGGTTCTGAGGTGCACATAACCAAGACTGCTGGGACACCAAGGCACTCATGGAAGCTGGTCATGGCACCCTCCTGGAACGGGCAGGGAAGTGGCTGGCAGAGGGCACCTTTCTGCGGCTTCATCGGAGGAATTCCAACGGCTGGGTCGTGTTGTGTCAAGATGATCCGCAATCATTGAATTTGAAATGCACTTACTTAGAGTTCGCATAAGGCTTAAGGATGATTGTGTGTTTTGAATTCAACTGTTGACTGCCTGGAGAGGGCACACAATTTCAAAATGTGGCAGAATAGTTTTGGGGTCATAACTGTTGCATCCAAAAGGTTTGATAAACTTTGGTAAACATTGACATGCTTATAAACCGAGCATAGCTGATGGATAGAGGCCAAGGATTTCTAGATTCTAGATGTAATACAGTATACTTAAAACATACTTGAGGATCAAAACAAACCAAACTTGGGCAAGTGAACATGTGTTTTCTTGCTCAACAGCTCGATCATTTCTGGATGACTGCCACCATCAGGAAATTCGGCTCTCCCTTGTCATTGTTGGTACACCATGGTACACCTCCAGCCTACACCTCCAGCCTATATCAACAGGGTTTGTCCTGAGGGTATACCCCATATTTTTACGATTTTTAGGGGCCATTTAAGATCATTTATATAAGTTATATATATATAATGATTAACCCTTGGATTCCTAGACATCCCATCTCCCATCTTTGTTGGTTACCCTACTCTCCTGGCACTGGTAGCTGCAGCCCACAGATTGACGTGCACAACACCAACCCTGGCGAGTCACGGGCTATGCCGCGGTTCGAGCACCGCGCCCCTCAACTCAATGATGAAATCAGGTTCAGAGTCACACCTTGAGGTAGAATACAATATATTAGTACAAACAAACCAAAGACACACTGGGGTAAAAAGCTTTCCAATTCAAACCAATTGTTTGGGATCACTTACAATGTAAGTAATGGATCACAGCTATGTTCAGGATAGTCACCGAAACGCTGGGCAATAGCCCTGGCTTCAAATTGCCTTCTTGTGTTCTGACCAGCCATTCCTCCAATTGGCATACCTCAGCAGGGCTTCCCTCTGCTAATTGGCACGGTCCGAGAGCCATCTGGTGAAAGCCATGGAAAAAAACAGCAGTGCTGGGAAAGGGGATGGCCACCTGCACAGGGACATGACGCAACACCTCTGACGGTTCTCTGCATCTTAAGGGAGTTGATTGGGCCTTCCGCAAAAAGGTAATGAATTGCTGAATTGCCATGACTAGACCAGGTCGCCAGTGTGATTTTTTTTTAGGTACCCATTCCTGCAACACCCTAAGAAATCCAGACAGACTTGACTTGATCCCTCCGAGCTCCCCTGCCCCGCATCACAGTCATATGGCGCGGCCGCCGGCTCTACCTCCACCGGCTCGGACACCGTGGTGTAGTGATGCACGTGGTGCACCACCGTCACCGGCGCCGGGGCTGGCGGCACGTCCACCACGTGCACTTCCTCCCGCACCGGCTCCTCCACGGCTGGGTCATGGGTGGGGCAGCCCAATGCATAGGTCTTGCAGCAGAAGGCCTGGCGGACTTGGAACGATTTGGAAAGTGCAACTCCATTGAAATCCATTGAAATCCATTGATGTTGCAGCATAAATCCCAAATGGATTCACCATCCCCAGTACCCTCTGGTAATCAAACATGGTTGCTGGAAAATATCTTATTTACTTCTATGATTTTCCGATTTAAATATCCATTATGATTACCGGAGTGTGTATCCCATTATACTCACTATATACTTATAGTTACTTATACCTATTATATCCATTATATACCCATTATATACAATTATATACATTATATACCCATTAAATCCCCTTTGGCTTCACCCACAGGAAAGAAAATGAGAGGGCATAAGGTAAGATAGGAAAACCCAAGCAAAATACAATGGACAGGTACAAAAAGAAAATGACCTCAGGCACCCTCCACCTGGCCACTGTTGGACCTACGTTATGCAACTGTTGGACCTCAGGCTCCGGCATTTTCTTTTGGGTTGATCTTGTTTTGCTCCGGCATTATCTCTGTCAATTAACTTGATGGGTTAGGCACCTCAAGAAATAAAATGCACCCACAAAATAAAATGCTGGGGTCTGACCCATTTTATGTTCATTTTATTTTTTATTTTTTTATTTTAAAAGGGGTTCCTGCCTCCTCATTCTATTTAGGTACCCCGGACCAAAGGTCCATACCCCATGTTTTCCCCATTTTTTCCCGATTTTTTCCCTGGCCTTCTTGGGACCAGTCCATAAACCGTGCCAGTCTTCCAAATCCTTGCGACAATCGTAGCTCTCCATCTCTTGCGTGAGATGAGGGAGCCTCAAGGCATCCCAAATATTAATCTCTGTGTACTATATTACAATATATCATATATATATAATATATATAGAGTCCAAAATTATAGTCTATTATAGTCTTATATAGTCTATTATATAATCATTATTATCATTATTATTATATATTATTACTACTATTATTATTATGTATTAATTATGTATGTTTATAGAGAGATCGTCTACCTGAATATGGGGAGCGACAGAGCTAACAGCAAGACACATGGTGAAATTCAGGAAGCGAGTGGTCTGGATCAACACATATCAACATCCTAATTCCTGAGTAATTTCAATGGCTGCTGCTATCCCAGCAGCCCGTGGCAGCCACGATGATGGTGATCGCAACACCATTCCTGGCGGATGTGGGTGAACCGGTGAACCCTTGAAAGAGGCTGCTTGGGCTTGGACCCATAGTTTCTCCCCCAAATGGTTGATGCACCATGCGCCCTTACACGTGTTTGAAGTGTTGTTTTCATGTGGCAAATGCTGATGAAGAAAACGACGACTGAACACTGAACCCATGAAATATATCTTAACATATCATTGTATCATAAACTATACACATTCTAAGACAACCATGCATAGACACACTGACCTTTTTTTGGATCAACACATTCAACAACTACACATATCACATCCATCCTGGAACCGGTCCATGGAAATCAGTGGCCTTCTTTGACACCGACCAGCTCTCCGGCCAATTCTGGTAGCCGCTTTCACAGTCAAAGACGTCTGGCACCTGACGAGACGGTGGCCATGCAGGTCTACTTTGAGCTCTCCTTGTTCCGTGCCTGCTCTGGACATCCGCGATTTTCATGAAGACCTGCAGTTGGCATGGCAAAGATTGGTGAAGAATTGGAATATATTGGAATCAAGGACATCCATCTATCAGTAAAGCACCAGTGTTGGATGGCAATGATCTCCTAATGGTCATGGATGGTTATAAAGTCAATGGTCACGGGTCCGTGATTTTTTGGCCCGCCCTGCCCCCCCCCCAACCGAGTCAACATCACAAGAGAAGAGTGTTCATGATATTTCCCGTCGATGGAGTTGCGGACATCACGCTGCCATCTGAGAACCCAAAACTATCCGGGGGGGTTGCAGAGCAACTCTAGTTCTTTTTCGTTCTTTTTCGTTGTGACTATCTATGAATACTTGGTGAGTTACTCTGAGGAATTCTCGGGCGACCAATGAACACTCGAAAGCAATCTTCATGGGCTTAATTACTGGGCTTACCCAAATTATGGATCAATTTGATGCACGCCCGCACTGACCAACAATTCAGGAACAAAATGGGTTTGTCTGAAAATAGGGGACCCCGCCTTTGATGGTCTATCATCGTGTCTCCTGTTAAAATGACCATTTTGCGGTTTATTCCCAGTTTCCCATGACAGACACTAATATTGTAGACTTAGATCCCAGTCCTTTTCAACATATCAAAATTATTCATAAAATTGTTATATATGTTATATATATAATATATATATATATATTATACATATGCCGCTAAAATAATCCATCGTTTTCCCATATTTATACCATGTGAAATTTTCATCATTATTTGGCGATATTTGGCACCATTTTCAAGCACATCCATGCTGCAGCTGAGGAGCAACACCACAACTTCTTGCGATTGGACCAGCCGATCTCCTCAAGGCGATTTGAAATCAGGATCCAGGTGCCAAAAACAACAGATCTTGGAAATGCCTGGAAAATCACAGAGGTAACGGTAACTGAACATAACTGAACATTATTTGAAACATTTTGAAACTTTCCGATCTTTCTAATGTGAGTCAAGAGATGAGAAAAGTCTGTGCATCCGGTTTTCAGTGACACATAGTGACACCCGATCCCTTGGGGATCCGCACAGAGTTGCCTGTACCGGCCATGCAATCAAAGTCATCACCTCAGCGCCACTTCTGCCAGCGACACGAAGTGGCACGAAGCTTCTTCCAAGCACGACGGCAAAAAACCTTCCATTCCCATCCATTTCCATCTCAAAATGCAAACGCAAATGAAAACGGAAGAAGGATCTATGATGATTCTATATGTTTCAACCTGCGACGTGAGTCCGGAGATTCTTTTCTGATTGCTTTGTTGCTTTGGATCGGTCTTTCATCTACTGTTCCATGGGGATTTCTTACCTACGAGGACTTGCCTGCATGGGATGGTAAGGCAACAGTCACCGAAACTTCGAGCGGCTGCGCTGGCTGAAGTACGTTCGATAAAAATCATTGAAACTTAATGAAACTTGACATTCTAAAAGCATCTAAAACCTAAATTCTTCGATAATGGAGCCCAACCCCACCGGCAGCCTCCACTGGAAGGATCCCTGAAAATGGCAATGATTTAAGCTGTATGAGATGCAACAAGCATGTGATTGGATATACCATCTGTGTGTACACACTGTATGTTTATATCTATATCTGATCTATATAATATGATATAATATGTACAATATACAATCATAATCAATCATATATATCATATACACGGCATATTATATGTAAGTACGACAAGTATGCATGTAGTAGTTTCAAACGGTTGCGGGAACCAAAACCCAAGTTGAACTCCTTGAAACTTCAGAGATCATCCCAGCCAAACTCATTAGCTAAACACCTGCAGTGCAGGTGGAAAATTACAGGAAGCGCTCAGCACATCATTTCGCTGCCAGCGCTGCCAGCAATGGGAGCCTATCTGGAGGATTTGGAAGGCCACAACCCACAATAAAGGCAACAAAAAAATGCGTCGAATGGTGTCGGGTGTCAGTGTTATAGGCTACAGACTATCGGTGACTATCGGCCATTTCACATGGGTGGTCTGTTTCCAGGGATGGCTGGAAGTGCTACATAACTTTAGATAACCCACTGATTGATTGTACTTCTGCTGCCTTCCAGTTCGCTTATCACTGGTGCTCTCTGTGCATAATGGACTCCCATCCGGGAATAATTACAGCGACAAACACATGATTGCTTGAAACATCTTGAAACCATCAATCAGAAAATTGTTGTAAACGGGTCATGAGACTCCTTACCCCACAAAATAATTGGCTTATATTCGCTTTCTCCTGATGTATTGCAGTGGAGAGTGCCGAACATCTTCCCAACTCCTGTGGACTTAGCTGTTGCTTCCCGTTTCTGCCCTCCAGTGCCTCACGCGCCCTCCATGGGAGCTTCTTGGGCTTCTGGATCTGGAGGATCCCATGGGTTGCGCATATCCAACGGCCCATTCTCCTAGGGTGACAGGCTGCGATCACTGGGAGGTGCTGGATGTGGATCCTGCAGTAATGCATACTACTGCCTATACGAAGATACATATACTGTGGACACACACACACACATATATATATAATATAATATATTCTAGCACTGTACATGTGAATATGAATATGAATATGAAAATTATGAATACTACTACTGTGATGATGATGATGATGATGATGATGATGATGATGATGATGATGATGATGATATGGACATGGACATGGACATGGACATGGATATGGATATGGATATGGATATGGATATGGGTATGGGTATGGGTATGGGTATGGGTATGGGTATGGATATGGATATGGATATGTTGTTGTGCCCGAGTTGATGCATGCACCCCTGCACCTGTTCGACTGCTAACTGCTCCACTGTCCAAATCTGTCCAAGATTCGGTCATGACGATCATGTTAGTCAGCTCACCTCGGAATGTCTTGGTTTGGAACTGGAGCTTCACAGTATCGACTGCCTGTTGTAACCCTGAAACTTGGTATGAAGATGTATGAAGTGTTTTTTGGGGGTCGGGGGGGTACATGAAGATGATCATGAAGCAACAACCTGGAAGATGCAGCTCCATGCAATCCAGGTCTTCTACATCCAATCGTTTTTCAGCTCAACCCCTACTTTTGGAACTGAAAGATCCCAAGATTTCCCGGCCACGCACATCAAACCACCGAGGCACGAGCTTCTGCGTAGATCTCTTTCACTTCCTCCCAGTCTGGACCACCTACTTCGGTGCTATCCGGGTGCTCAAATTGGTTGTACAATGCCAAGCTCAAGCGCTTCCTCAGCTGCTCTTCGTTGATTTTGGATATTTTGGGTGCTTCTCTAATGGGGGCACCCCTCAAAAACAACAAAAAAACAGCCTAGTTGGTGAGAACAAAAAGAAGTGATTTCATGTCATGTGCTTTCCATTTTGGCCCATTTTGGCCCATTCCAAGTTCCTCTCATTCCCCAAATCGGAAGAAGAGTGAAGAACCAATCGAAAGGGAGGGAGAACATATTCAAAGACGATGCCGATGCTATTGAAATTCCTGAAAAGATGTTGACCTCTTTGAAAAGATGTTGACCTCTTTGAAGGGTCTTCCCCTTCCTTCATCTGAGCTGCACCCGAGGGTACAAGTCCAAGAGCTTGTTGTGCCTGAGCGTGGGGGCTGTCTGAGGGCCGGCCAAATGAAACCCCTGAGAAAAAGATGGGCAACAGGAGAATACAACATCTGCACCAATTCACCCCCTGAGATTTGGCTTGAAAGTTAAGTTAAATTTTGACTCTTTTGACCCATGATTTCAGTGATCCACACCCATTTGGAGAGGTCCTCTGGTCATTGCTGACACATGCTGACACTAGAAAATGGATGAAAATGGTAGGTTTCGCAAAGCGAAAGACCAACTGGTAGGACTATGCCATCCTTGGTGAGAAACCACCGCTGCCAAGTCGCACCGCCGGCCGCAGGCCATCTGTATCTCTGGAGCGCTGCTGGATGAAGCTTTCGACTTGTTTGGCCTACGGCAGTGAGACAATGCTGGGCACCATATTTGGAACCATACAAGTACTATCTCGCATCATTGCATCTAGTTGCTTGGAGCTATAGGAGTAATTAGAGAATGAATGAGAATGAAACTAAATCCAGGTTGACTGCGGTACTTCAAACTTCTGGCAAAGGTTATTGGTTTGAAGCCTACTGCGGAAATCACTTGGATCCTTTCATCTTGGTACTTTTTCAGCTGCACAAAACGCCAGCCGCACTTTGCGGTGCGGCTAAGGCTCCATAGCCAGATTGGGGCAGCGAACTTTAAATTGACGGAAAAGGTCATATAGCTAAGCTAATCTATTTGAGATGTGCTTTGCTGCAAAATGTCTGGATAACCCCTGCAGAATGTCTTGCAAATCTTCCACCCCATGAAATGGGATCGTTCTTGATCTTTCAGGCAGAATTAATCTCTGGGAAAACGGCACACAACTGACTTGAAGCCAGTCATCACCGGCTGGCTGGTCCGCCCGCTGCTAATGCCTTGTGTGCCAACAGTTTCCTCTGGTTTTTCCTCCGCGACTTCTCCTAGCAGTCGCTGGGAAACCTCCCAATGCTGCTCAAAACGATGGGATTCGAATGGCACCGTCAGGATAAAGGTTGGATATCAAAAAGTGGAAACCAGCGACCATCCACGAGGTACATCACATTGCTAATCTATCTGGGGGAATTTCAGCTCCCCTTCCCATTTGCTAAGGATGCACCCCATCCCCGGCTCCGAAAGGCACAACACAATGACATGGACGATCGCAAACCTCCAAATGCATCCAAACGCTAGAGCCACCCAACCATCCCACCCTACCACCAAAACGTATAAACAACAATCCCAACAACCAAAATTTACTAAAGCATCATCTGCCCATGGTATCATTGTTCAATTGATTGTTTCCCATCTTTGCGCAGATTTTCAGGCTGATCGCCTCCTCCAGCTTCTCAGCAGCCCGTCGTTCTTCCGCCTTTGCGGCTGCCTGAGAGGACCCATGGCGGGGCGCCCAACATGTGCAGCAAAAAGGTGTGAAGAGATTTCATCCACTAAAATTATGTAAAATCCATAGTTTTTTCGGCAAATGTGGAGTTTCATTACAGGAAACTGCTTTAAGGCAGTAGGGAATTCACTGGACTTAGATCATTAGCAGGCCTGAAATCGCATGGTTTTAAAACATAACTCCTTCGCATCCAGCATTGAACTGAAAACCATAGCCATAGCCATAGGCTTGGTGAAATCTCTCAAGCCATGGGCAATTGAGGTGGTTCCCTCCAGTAACCATCTACCCGTTTTCGCACGGCATGATGTCATATGGTAAAGCACTGCATTAAATAAATATCATCCAACATCATTAACCATCATCCAACGATTTTTGTCTCATGGCTCAGCCACACAGTTCGACTCCATTTTTCCATTTGACTCTTCGCACCTCTTGGGCTTCTTTTCTGGCTTCATCCTCCCTGAGCTGTTCCAGTAACGCCTCAGGGGACGCTAATGGCGCACCGAATTGGGCGTTTTTTGGGAGCCAAACAAGCCATGGCAATACAGTAGATTATGAATTATATATATATTATATATAAACATGTTCTGATTCTTATATATACATACATATATATGGTTTAACACATGATTCAATATGTTTTACTTGCCCATCATAACTGGCTGGTGGCGTCAACCCCTTGAAGATCTGAAAAGAAATACGAATGTCATTGAGGATCTTCATCCCATTTGTGGTTGAAAAACTGTTTGAAACCATCAGCCAGTTTAGAAATGGACCACTCAACATCCAACAACATCATCCAACATCCACAAAAACTGAAAAACTATAGGGCCAAAGGATCGAAGGTGAGGCAGGCCTAAAGGGTTTCCACCAAACTTTCTGTATCTTAACCGTGTTGACCATATATGATGTGGGTTCTGGGAAGATTGCCCACATGCTGAAGTGGTTTCTATGATGCCCTCCAGCTCTATGCACATTTCATATCAGGATGACAGACTCCATCTATTCTGACCACACCCACCAAAATTGTTCGCTGATTGTACGCTGCCATTCTCGGGGTTCCCACATGTCCCACCTTGAATCAGCTTGAATCTGGATTTTTTGTGGGGATAGCACCCTGAAAAAGTCGAAACACATCTGTAGTTACAACGGCTCACAGGGCAGCCCATGACTGACCTTGGCAGTAGATACAGCACATTCCCCCCAAATAAGGTCTCTGATATCTCTGCGACGCCCGCACCTCTTTGGTAATCTTGGCCTTAGATCACGTTTCAAAATGTCTGAAGGGAAGCTGTGAAGAACCAGGTGCACAACAAACCAGGATATATAGTAGAGGCTTAAATACCATCCAACATGCCAACATGAGAAAGCTCTGAGAAATGCATGAGAAATATGTCAAGATAGCATGGCAAGCATACCTACTCTGTAATGAGCATGGCTTGGATTCAAAATGCTGTCTCCTTCTGGTGGAACATTCAGGTTCAATCAATATTCGGACACCTATGAACATGTCTGGATAGACATCCAATAAATATACAACATTGTGGGTCATCAACAAAACTGACCATCCACTTCGCGCTGGACTTTTTGTGTTTAGGACCCGTCATTGCCGGCCTAGCTGTTGTAACCAAGAATCGTTGCGTTCCTTCAATGCATCTAGTCTTTCACAGGTGTGTTGATACCGGTGGCTATCACACAGCACCCGGCCGCAGTCGCGACACCAAAAGGTGTCCTTGGAAGGCAGGCGAACGCGAAAAGCTGTATCCCAGTGGCAATTATTCTCATGATTCTCATGCCATATGCAACGAATATCATGATATCAATTATACATTACATATGTCCACTAAACTCGATTGAGATGGCCATTGTTCAACTCCTTGTTCCGCGTCATCAGGGGCAAACATTGGTCAGAGGCTTACTTTTGATCTACACATCACCACTAATCTCTTCCCCCTATTACTAAACGTACCCGACATATTAAAACCTATAGTTGAAGTTGGCCAATTGGATTTTTAATTGATCCCCTTTAGAAAACAATTTAAAAATGAAGGCCCCGTTTGAGGGTTTCACCCCCTAATAATAAAAACTAGTCAACACCGTCAACACCGAGGTGTTTTTTATTTAGGGGCGGTCCTTTATTAAGGAGAACCTTCGAAATCCAAGTTTTGGCAATATTTCAATTAGATTTTAAAACGGATATTCATCGATTTTGAAATAGACCATCTGAGTCATTTTATTAAGGTGTTTTATTTAATTAGGGGAAAGTTTCGCACCCTAATACTGAATATACCCCCTAATACTAGAAACTCCTCAAGGTGTTTATTATGGGGGGGGGTAGTATTAGGAAGCAGGGATTACCTGAGACCGAAAGAAAGGCGCCATCAGTTTCTTGGATCAGGGCACGCTGTATCTCCAGGTTGATTCCATGATCCGGCCCTTGGCCTCTGCTGTTCTCTCAGTAGATTAGTGGAAATCAACGCACATATTGCGTCGGCGAGGTTACGTTGAATAAGTTGAATTCCAGATCCCTTCACCACCCTGCAATATCCTACACCATTCTTGTCAATTGACAAATACAAATCACCACACCAGCATGATAGGTGTGGTACTTCGTGCCATGCCAAGTTTCCATCATACTCTTGACGATGACCTTGGGTTCCAATGGGATCTCCACTATGGGTTCCAACTAGCTAAGGAACTGCTCGGGTACACAGATCAAATAAACTCAGTGCAGGGTTGTTTCTGGTTGTTTCACAAACTTGGATATTCCAAAGCATTCTGAAACCACTGTGTTGTCCTGGTCCCATCCATCACCCCAGTAGTTTGATTTCTTTCTAAGGGTATCCTCCATTTTTTGACGCCAAAACATGAGCCAAAGGGATCCAAAGGGATCTTCAGGATGGGGCAGCAACAAATCTGGATGAGGGGAGGCCAGTTGCTGCAAGCTGCTGCCATGGTTTCCTTGTACTTCTTGGCTAATCCACAGCTCCCAGCGCACTCCGCGCATTTGGTCTTCAGAAAAGCCTGGCACAGGAAAAGGTTGGGGACTTGTTCAACTTGTTTAAAGCCACTAATTAGCAACCATAGCACAAGCGAATCTGAAGAAATTTCGACAGCCGCGCGGTAATCCATTCCTGCAATTTGTGGGTACTTTCGTGGTGAGAAATCATTGAAATCAAGCAAGCACAAGAACTGAACTTTCTTGGACCCTTCACAGCCACCGCATGTATTTTGGTTTCTCGATGTCCCACTTTACCCTGCAGCTGCCGCATTTTCCTATCAAGCTGGTGCTGAAGTTTACTCCTACAGCAGATTGAGACAAGCTCTGACTTTGTCGGCCAGTAAGTTGGACTTCACGCAGCTGTTCCGAACCTATCTGAGGACTTGTCGATGCTCATTCTCCCGCAACGGATGCAGTGATGAAATTTGTACCCAGCTTGTGGCTCACTTGGATGAAGTTAGATGATATCCAACTGTGTTCACTCGTCCGTGTAGTTCTCATCTCTGAGCTCCACATCCAAACTATCCACGGCCACTGTCATCAGGTCGCAGATCGGCTTGACCGGTACCTGGACAAGAAACTGCGGCACTCTCTTGCGGCCATGTTTAGATTTGTAATCACTTGGAGAACCTCCTGCCTCTTACCTCATCCATTACCATCTTTTCAGCACAATGTGAAATTTCTGCATGCACATGATGGCGTATGCACTCTAGTCCGACCATTCAGATACGGCAAACCTTCAAAGTTTCCTATGCACAACTATGTGCTTCCAACAATTTCTCCTGGCAACCCTGATCCCAATATGATCTTGCAAAATCTTGGTTTAATAAGACCGATCAATAAATACTTTCTGTGTTTACATCTCTATACATACACAATTGCATGCAATGAATTGTATCTGCCTCTCCTCATTCATGGTATGCGTCCATCTGCGTCCATATGTGTGAATATATGGTTTCAACGAAAAGAACAACACAACACCACAAAATATCTACATATACATCCTATCATCCTGACTTGGTAAAGGGTCCCACACATTCCACCACTTTCCACCATCCATGTCCAGCCTCCGCATCCCAAAGGGCCTTCCCCACCGCCATCTCCGCCCCTTTGGCATCCGCCGCGCCCTTCGCCAGTTCCCGGCATCGCTGCAGCGCCCTGGCGTCGCGGGTGACGCCCGCGAAGCGCCCCGCCAGGCGCACCACTGCGGCGTTGCGGTAGATCACCGCCAGGTAGGGCGCACCACCCATGGCGGGGGGATGAACTTTGGACACTTGAGATGGGAAATGATGGGAATATGGAAAAATCGGAAAGATGTCCGAAATCATCCCAAAGGGATCCAAATTGGATCTATGCTTGGAGTGCGGATATGATATACAATCTCATTTGATCAACTTGGCCAATCTTACATCGAAATGCATCTGAATCATAGTCTAATATCATAATATATCATAATATATTCTATGAAATTCTACTTGGGCATCGCAAAAAATGACGCTACGATTTTTCTGTGCTTCAATGAATCCCCAGACATGGCCTTCTTGTCTTTCAAGATGAGCCCCTCCAGCTCCTGCCCACAGACACCAGAATCTTGAGGGAATGCTTTCGGGGAGGACGTTGCAAATATGGTATTATAAATATAAACGCCTTCTTGTACCATGACTCACGCCACACTATTCTAACAAAAATATGCGCTAATCCTATTCAAAACATCTCAAAACCAATATCTGCCAACAGAACGTCTGAATCAGTTCAGGCCTCTGAACTGAAGATGCTCTGGGTATCACCTCAGTACCAAAAACATCGGACGATGCCTTCGTGATTCAGAGGTTTGCTGGACACAATCAGATCGGTGATCCTTTCCAAGATTGATCAGTTCGATATTTTTTTGGAACCTTGTGTTCTAATATCTGAGGTAAAAGGTGCTTCTGGATGACACGCATGGCAGAATTTCAACTACTATGCTTCGTTTTGTGATGATTCACTATTGTTTAGCAAGTGCAAAAGTGGAGCATCTCAACATCTCAACATCTCTCTCTCTCTCTTTCTCTCTCTCTCTATCGCCACGTCTGACCTCTCTAGTTGTTGCAATAGTCTTACCCATCCCAAGCTTTTTGTGACACATTGTATTGACGAATCCCAACATATCAAATGTAGTGGGGCACCAAAACTAAGGCCCAAACTTCCAGCATCTCGAAGTAGAGCCATTGCGTCAATCCGATGCAGCTGTGGGCTGTCTTGCAACCCGTGAGCCAAAAAGGTCGCAGGAAACGGAGAGGGATGATTTGGGTCTGGGCAGGGGGGATACATCGGGATATCCCTCATGTATGGCAAATCCATGCCATGTTTATGTGGAATTTGACTTTAGCCATGGCATTTTGGTACACAAAAAGCATCCGAAAACCCAGGTCACTGGGATGGAGGAGTTGACCCAAAAAAATGTTGGACGAAGTCGTCCCAAGGTCCTGGCCGATTGCTTCCTCACAACCGATGCCTTTGTTGCTGCAGCACCATTTCTTCTTTCCTTGGCCCAGCTATAGATGCTATAGTGACAGTGAAAGTATGTGAAAGTTGATGCTGGAATGATGCCATATCGATGGGCTTCCCTGAAGAAAACGCGCAAGTTTGCGGGAACATGATGATTTTATCAAATTTGACCTGTTGTGTCCGAAGTTTGAGCAGCTGACCATGTGCCCAACCTCCGGTTGGTAGGGGCCAACATGCCACGTGTCAACTAGTCGGTCAATGTAACACCTGCTAGTCTGATTCATATTGTTCCCAGGCGCAACTATCTCCTAGAAAAACAAGAAGGGTCGCTCCCGCCTTTCTTCCAATTCTTGATGCCGGCGGCACAGTCGTACCTGATGATCAACGCCAATGGCAAAGAGGTTCCAAAATCTAAGGATCGCTTGACTATACATTGCAACCCCTCTCCCTCGCTCCATCGTTGGCGGACCGAAGTCAGCTTCAGCCAGCACTACTATACAATTTTTCAACGACGAATGATTGCATGGCAACATGACCGCAGAAAACGCTTCAAGTAAAGCAGATACACATTCCAGGCTGTCCGGAAAAACCAAGTTAGTGAAGGACAGGCTGATCAGTGCCGAAAGGCATTCCGTTGGAAATAACGGCAACAATAGTTCAGCTTCAGCTCAAATTAGAGGGCTACGGATGGCTATGGCTCAAAATTGGAAAACCATCTGTGCCCACAACGTTGGCCATCTTTCCAATTTAACCACTCAATATTAGGGGCATTGCCAGGCACTTCCCAGCGCACTTGCCGGGATGGACAGGCACAGAGATCCACATCTCAGCTGCATTAGACTTTGGGCAATGGACACCAGCAGTCCAAATGCGATCAAATCGCCATAAGACCCCCAAAAAATATGTTTGCTATTGATGAGCGAACATCAAATATCATCCAGCTGTATATATGGATCGATAATATGTGTGTGTGTGATATGTAAGAGCTCCGTACCCCATATGCCTGACGCATATTGGTGATATGGACCTCTTACCAACCAATAGGCCCAGATTCCCCCGTCAGGTTTTGCCCGTGCCGTAGCTTCTCCAACCATCACCGATCACCCTGTGGTACCATGGATCCCAAGGTGGAGTCTCAGCCAAGGCTCGTAGTGCTTCTTGGGTGGCGCAGCCTCACCAGGTCGAGATGGTCTGTTGCGAGGGGAAACCAAGCGAAGACAGTGGGTGCGTAGTCAAGGGATGTAAAACCATGTAAAACCTATCCCACCCTCCAACCTTTCCGTCATTGAATTTGATTCGCCACAGTTGGTTTCACCACCGCGCTGGTTCATCCGCCAGCACTGAGAAGCCGAGCCGTTGTCGTGCACCTCACAGCTGAAGAGAGTGTCCAGATGTGCAACGGGGTGAGATTAACAATTGGGGTGTTTGAAACAAACACAATGGGGAAACAATCGCAATGGGGATTGAGCTCCATAATGTAGTGCTTAATTGAGCAATCACGATGGCATCGTAACTAAAGGTAAGTATTCAACCAGGTGCTCACCGCAACCCTGAAAACCACAAACACACTGTACCACAAAAGAAGGGACATATTATAATATATGAATATATACGGGGGTTTAAAGGTTGCATCAACTACACTTGTCACTGACCGCATCATACCAGTAATCAAGAAGAGTGACTGGGTAGAATGGGGCAACCTCCTTGGACATAGCCACAATGCTAAACTTGACAAGGGCTGGAGCCCCCATTTGAGTCGTTGCTTCCCCATCCGTTGAAAATCAGGTTGGTGGCTCATGGTTTCAGCCCAATCCATTTCTGATACTGTTGTTTGTCGAAATTTAATGTTCCGTTGTAGCCCTGTAAATAATGGGTACCCTCATAGTTTGGGGGTTTAATTCAATCAAACATATATGGTATGATATCCTGATTTTGAGGATGTTTCCAATGCCCAGTCTTTTTTTTTCATGGGCCATGGCTCTCAGGGATTCATCAGGAAAGGGCTGCTCCTAGAGCAACCCCCTTGCTATTCTTGAGTGCTACGAGTAGCTGCTCACTCATCCATCCATAGAAATGTCAAACAGGTGCAGGAACATATGTACAAACCTAGAAAGCTTGAATTATTGAAGCATATCAAAACCGGCACAAGCGATTTAACATGGTCCGAAGTGATCAAATGTGACGGTGAAACATCCCAGCCATCTGAGCTTCAGCACCCAGTGTCGTGATGCTCGCAGCACCACTCTTTATGCGCATTGGACCTGTGGAGCCACAACAAACACCAGTTTGCTCAGGGATAAGGGTAGAAGTAAGGGTGGTAAGGATTGCAGGGGTGGAAAACGCTAATGGATTCTTTTGGCTTTCCCTCAGGTCAGAGTTGCGGTGCCTAACGCAATGTCATCAGCTTTCTGGAATATTGCTGGATTCTGTGCATTGCATGAAGGCTAATACAGATAAGAACTGCTTCACCGAATACCAGGTCACGTAGACCTATCATAGCTATTCCCTCAACCTTGGAACCTTTTCTTGGAGCCTTTCGTCAAAAGCTCGAATCCCTACACAGCAAGCAGCACACCCATGAGAAGATCTGCGCTTTGCAGGGTCGGGCCATCCTCGAAACGATTCTTGAAACGAGATCTCGCTGTTCTTCAACCAAATTCCTATGAAACCTGGCGCCAACCCTGCAGTTCAAGAGCTGAAGGGTTTAGCTTTAGCCTGCTTTGGCCATCGATGTTGGCTGAACCAATCCCCTCAGCCATCTGGTGCTCCAGGCTTAGCAAGTACCACCAGGAAACCGAACGGCACCGCAACGTTGGTGCTGTGCCAGGTAGCATGCGCCGACTCGTGCGGCCCCCCTGCCTTTCTGTTGGCAGGTTGGATGCGGAACGTCTCAGTGCCAGTAGCTGTTCAAACCCTAATCTGCACTGTCACTGTGCTTCCTCAAATTTGGATGAATCGAAGGGTGAATATGGCTACATAGTAAGATCATATGGAGTAGGGCCTTGGCAATGCTTTGTACATACTTTTCAATGTTCCAGATCTGTTTTCTGTTGGCTCCGAGAAGCGTGCGGGAGGAAACCCTGCAAGCAGCCGGTATGCCAGGTGCTTTCTGCATCTGTTCCGTCGTCAGAGGGACGTGTTCGAAGGTGGCCCTTCTACCTACCAGGATCCCAACATGTTGCAGCTGGCGTTCTGATCCAAAGCGGGGGATCTTCCAAGACTAACTCTTCATCAAGACAAGATTTTGCCATTCTTGGAATCCCAGAACTTGTGGCGGACAACCCCACTAATGAAGGTTCCTTCTTTTTGTGCGTCATGGGATGCATGATGTTTTCCCATCCTTCGGACCTACATCGTATGGTCAACAGTCCAAAGGGCATTAACCGTGAGCGCTGCCTTGTACATGCCACCAATGACGGTGCGCCCGCACATCAAATCCTCATGGCTGCCATGCAAGTTTAAACTTGCCAGTGGTCCCCAAAGCTGATGGACCCATACAGTATGGAGCTAACACTCCCTCCAACTTAAATTACTTTACTTCGTGTGATCCCCACCGTGACATTTTTACATTTTCTTACTGGCAAATCTTCTGGCATTCTATCTGACATATCTTCTGGCATTCTATCTGGCAAATCTTCTGGCATTCTATCTGGCATATCTTCTGGCATTCTATCTGACATATCTTCTGGCATTCTATCTGGCATTCTATCTGGCATATCTTTCTGGCATATATTCTGACATATCTTCTGGCATTCTATCTGGCATTCTATCTGGCATATCTTTCTGGCATATATTCTGACATATCTTCTGGCATTCTATCTGGCATATCTTCTGGCAAATCTTCTGGCATTCTATCTGGCATATCTTCTGGCATTCTATCTGACATATCTTCTGGCATTCTATCTGGCAAATCTGATGCATTCTATCTGGCATATCTTCTGGCATTCTATCTGGCATACCTTCTGGCATTCTATCTGGCATATCTCATGGCATTTTATCTGGCATATCTTCTGGCATTCTCTTTGTCCCATATCTGCCTACATGAGGTCCGGCAGGGAACACTTGGCATGGATACTCGCAGATGAGGTCCGGCAGGGAACACTGGGCGTGGCTGGTCGTGGTTGAGGTCCAGCAGGGAACACTGGGCGTGGCTGGTCGTGGTTGAGGTCCGGCAGGGAACACTGGGCGTGGATGGTCGTGTTTGAGGTCCGGCAGAGAACACTGTGGATCGCGGGTCGCAGTTGGACGAGGACGACGAGGACGACGAGGACGACGAGGACGACGAGGACGACAAGGACGACAAGGATGACAAGGAGGACGAGGAGGAGAGGAGGAGAGGAGGAGGAGGAGGACGAGGCAGGAGGCAGGAGGAGGCAGGAGGAGGCAGGAGGAGGCAGGAGGAGGCAGGAGGAGGCAGGAGGAGGCAGGAGGAGGCAGGAGGAGGCAGGAGGAGGCAGGAGGAGGCAACTGACATAAAATCTAACAACCCTCACCTGGCAGGTGGGGAAAAACACACACCTACACAAATATTTAAAAAAACAACAAAAATCAAACAAAGCAAAAGCGCGAGCATCCAAGGGATTGTAGCCCAAGATCTGACTCGCAGCTAGTGCTCCAGACATCACTGCAGGCAACCAGCCCCCTGTGGTCACGTCTTGGCCGCTGAGGTAGAAATCCTGGATCTTGGTCACGACCCGAGGCAAGGGGCTGGTTATCCTGGCAGGAAATGAACACGGCATGGGTTGGGCTTAAGATTTTAAAGGCTGGGGAGAATGTTGAAACAATCAAATGAATGAGTTCAAACAACAGGCGAAATTCGGGGGAGCTTGGTTTTCATGTGGTCCTTGGAATGTGTTTGTTGTGTTCTTTCCTCATCTTGCAACAACCTTGGCGAACCACAGCTGTGCTGGGGGTAAAATCATGCTTCACCACATGATGTTCCTATGCAATGGATGGAGTCTTCTGATCTTCTGTCTTGTTTCCAATGTTTCCATAAGGAAACGAGTTCCACAGCGACCTTTTAGGAGCATCTCGACCGCCACGCGATGGAGAAAACGGAAGCCATGGCCAACCCCAAAAGGCACAGGAAACGAGCCGATTCCAGATGAGGGTTGGAATGTCGAACTAATCTAAGTTATATAATTAATCATAGTTAATCTAGCAGCCAAAAAACCATAAACTATAGCCCATGTTTACCCACGTTTTTCCATTTTTTTGTGGCTGTTCGAAACACTACCCAAACACATCAAACAGGGCGTCTTATTGTTGGGTTTACCACACCACATTACCAAGGGCCTCAACGCACCCTGCAGCGCCTTTCTGGCGTATGCGGCAAGCCATAGATGGCCGTGCGCTTGAGATAGAAATCCACGGAGAGAGGTGTGGAGACATCGATGCTCAAGATGTGATCCTCCAGTTTCGGATACCTCAAAATCAAACAGCAGAAAGTTGAAGGCTTTTTTCAGGACAACGCAGGTTATTACTCCAAATATGAGCGTTTCCTGCACATGTTCCTAGCAATTTTGGGATCAACAGAGGTTGCCATTGGGCCATAGGCCATGACCAAAATGGATGTGGTTTGACCTGTAAACATTGGTCACTTGGATCCTAAACTGCGAAGCATGATGGCAATCCTTGGTGCATCGTTGGCCGAATTGACAACTACTAAGGCTAGATAACTACCAAGAATACTACACAATAATATTGTAATTGGAACGTCAATATATCACGCATCTTTGTTGGAGGAGCTTGAGTTGGTAATTCCCCACCTGCCAGGTGAGGGTTGTTAGATTTTATCAGAGTTGTTCTCCTCCTCCTCCTCCTCCTCGGCTAGCTGTCCTCCTCCTCCTCCTCGTCCTCCTCCTCCTCCAGTTTCTCCTCGACCATGTCTGCATCAACTTCCACCTGCACTTCCGCCTTGCCAACTCTTCGCCAAGCTCTTTGCCAACTCTTCGCCAAGCTCTTTGCCAACTCTCTTCGCCAAGCTCTTTGCCAACTTCCCAGCTCAGTGTGCACCGCTGGACCTCAACCTGGGACCGTCCCAGCTCAGTGTGCACCGCTGGACCTCAACCTGGGACCTGCCCAGCTCAGTGTGCACCGCTGGACCTCAACCTGGGACCTGCCCAGCTCAGTGTGCACCGCTGGACCTCAACGGCCAGATAGAATGCCAGAAGATATGCCAGATAAAATGCCATGAGATATGCCAGATAGATATGCCAGATAGAATGTCAGATAGAATGCCAGAAGATATGCCAGATAAAATGCCAGAAGATTTGCCAGATAGAATGCTAGAAGCTATGTCAGATAGAATGCCAGAAGATATGCCAGATAGAATGCCAGAAGATTTGCCAGTAAGCAAATGTATAAATGTCATGGTGGGGATCACACGAAGTAAAGTAATCTGCGTGTTTTTTTCTAAGAGAAACACTGTGACGGCAAGCATTCACGGAAAAAACACATTTTGACCCTCTGTGATCATCACCTTTCATCGTATCTAATTCATTGTGACTTTTCCCCATCATCTCCGGCATGAAACCATGGCTTACATAGGCAATACATGTTTCATCATTTTTCACTTCTGACCCATGATCTGGGCACTTCATCTATCCTCGAAAATCGTGAGTGAGTAAACTATACATCCATACGTTTTTCTTCCTCTATGGCTATGGTTCAAAACCCTTGCATCCTTCTGTACGAAAACAGCTGGTACGGCTGGATGTTCGTCACCCCCAAAATTAATGAAAATGATACAGTAGGTTTTGATCCATCCCTCTATTTTCCAAAATTTCCTCGTTTGACCCGTGTGAAACTGGCCCAAACAGTGGCCACTTGACTTCCACGCCCGGCCAGGTTACACTGCCAGCAGGATCTGACGGAAGCGCTCCTGGGCCAAGAGCTGAGACACATGTATAAACAGTATAGGCAGTGTTAGATATGTTGCACATCTGTGCGTACATTCCGATACATGCCTACGGATATTGTATACATAATATATAATATTACATATATATATATATAAATATAATATATATATATATAATTTATAAATATAAATATATAATAAATATAATTATATATAATTATATATATATATGTATAACGTATGTTGCAGTGTGTGTAGGTTAAAAAAAATAAGAAGTAAACAAATATATATATATATATATATTTATATATACATATACATATGTATATATATACAATACTATATGCACCTTCCACTTTGGTCTAATCTTGCACAAACCCATGTCCATCTGCTAAAATCAAGCAGCACCCTCCTCCAATCATAGCAGTCTAACCTTATCCCTTCTGATAAATTCATCAGCTCATCAACCAACCTGACACTGTCCAGTCCATGTAACAACCGATCCCTCGGTTTGAAGACTACCAGCATGCCAAGCTGAAAAATACACCAAAATGCCGCCTTCCACTTAGGTCCGGCCAGATTCCCCCCATCAGTTCCTCCAGCTGCTTCTTGTGTCCCTTGTATTCTGCTGTGCGCCGATGACTTTCCACATCGCTCAACGCCAAGAAGGGTTCGGCCTCTGCGTCGGTGATCATCTCCAAAGCAATGGTGTCTGGGTGCAGCTCCATGCACTCAGGATCCTGTCAACTGCTGGGCAGCTGGAGCCCTTGAACACCATTGGTACCCTCTGGTGAGGCAGGCAAACGGTAAGTGGGGGAAACCTCAGAAGTCATAGCGACCCCAATTCAAAAAAAAAATCGTGGAAACTCTGGGAGTTGATCGACCCCAGTAAATGACTGGGCCACGCTCTTGTCCTTGAGCGATCCAGCACCGATGAAGCAAAAGAAGTTGCCTTCGGTAGTATTGAGCCGTGCCGCATTGGCACGGCTCTCTGCGGTGATATCATCCAGCGAATAGCCCGCACTAGGAGGCTTGGGGAAGAACCACACCTGCGGGGATGTTTCAGTGCGGTTCGGTGGGCATGACAATGTAGGCAGGCTCACACGGACTTTAGGAACTGAAACTATCTGCGAAATCATCCAAGGTCAACAGTGCCATCATGTGCCATCCCATCTTTGGCTATTCCTCCAACCTTCAAACCATAGAGTCCTTTCCCACCAAAAAAAAACATGTTGCCATTTTCAGCTTTGTTTTTCAAAGCTTGACCCACACACACCCAAAACTACGCCCGTTGGGCGTACGTTGTGGTCAGAGAGGCCCAAGTCCTTTGCATCACCCTTCACTGTGACCTGGCCAGGTGCCCACGATCTTAGCCCTGGAAGGGAAATCTCCATGGAAACCAGCTGACAATTAAGATTATATAAGGCTTTGTGTTATTCCCGGGGTTCGTGTTTTTGGTTCTGTATCCCGTCCGTCGCCGCCGTCCGCCGCCGCCCCTCCTCCGAGTCAACCACAACTCTTTCACACACTTAGAACTCTCCCACGCAACTTTGTCACACACAACTCTTTCACACACAACTTTACATTGTCATGGGGGGGTTCCCAAACACTGGGAAAAACTATTTTTTGTACCAGAACCCTGCGTCTTTATTTTTCATTGTGTAAAATGCGGGATCAGAGTAGCTCAGAGTAACCAGATCGAAAAATGTAGCATTGTCATGGGGAGGGCCCCAAAACCCTGAGAAAAAAAAACAACATTTCAAAATTTCAGCAAATTCATCAAATCCACATTCATTCAGCGACCTTTAATTGTCTCCATACTGACATTCTATCTGGCATTGTCTGCCATATTCTGAGACTCTACCTGGCATTTTATCTGGCAAATATTTTGGCACTTTACCTGGCACCTATTCTGGCATTCTAACTGGTATATATTCGGGCTGTTCGGGCCCATGCGTGCCCAGCTGCATCCGGAGCTGGCAATAGGGTTCGGGCCAAGGCGCGCCCAGCTGCGTCTGGAGCTCGCGATAGGGTTCGGGTCCATGCGTGCCCAATGCTGTGAGATCGGGGATCCAGGGTACCCCCAAGCGTGCTACAACAAAAAAAATAAAGAACCCAAAATGGTGGTTCACTACAAAAAGTAGAAAACAACACCGTTGCAAACTACCAAATACAGTAAAGGTTTTGTACAAAAATTGTTTTCAAAAAAAATGCACCTTCCAGGTGTCCTTTTTGTCCAAAACAGTCGTTGTTTGAAAGATCCAAGCGTCAATTTTGTGCAGAAACCCTTGTCATTCCAAAACCCTGATCTGCGATTTTTTGCCAGCACTGCTCCTGCCTTACCATGTCTTTGCATGCTTTAACCTGTTTTAGCACAAGATGAAAAACTCTCCGAACCTTGTGGCTGTCAGCAGGTTGCAGCTACAGTGCTTTGAGTTCTAACATATTGCCGCAGAAGGCGGTGGCGGAAGTGTCCAAAATCCTAAAGGAAAGGTAGGTTGTTGCGACGAATGGATGGCAGAGCGAACGCCCTCATGGGCCCAACTGGGGCTGAGGCTCTGAGTGTCTCTCTCTCTCTCTCTCTGTGTCTCCCTCTCCCTTTCTATCTAGCTATGTATCTATCTGATTCTATCTGTCTGTCTGTCTGTCTATCCATCAATCCATCAATCCATCTATCTGTCTATCCAGCTATCTATCTATCTATCTGTCTGTCTGTCTGTCTATCTGTCTATCTGTCTATCCGTCTATGCCTCTATCTGTCTATCCAGCTATCTATCTATCTGTCTGTCTGTCTGTCTGTCTATCTGTCTATCCGTCTAGCTGTCTATCTTTCTAACTACAGTATCTAGTTCTCTATCTAATTCTCTATCTAGTTCTCTTCCTAGTTATCTATTAAGTTCTTTATCTAGTTCTCTATCTATATGATTCGATATCATTCTCTATTCAGTCTCTTCCTCTGTGTCTCTTTTTGTTCTCTGGCTCTCTATCCCTCTCTCTATCTCTCTATCTCTCTATCTCTCTATCTCTCTATCTCTCTATCTCTCTCCCTCCCTATCTATCTTATCTACCTCTTTCTCTAACTCGAACTCAGTCTATCTCTCTCCCTCTCTCTCTCTATCTCCATCTCTATCTGTTTCTCTCTGTCCTTCTATCTGTCTAGCAGCTATCTATCTGTCCATCTTTCATTCTGAAACAAAGGAATTAATTATGCGAGACTTCCTTCAAAAGTGGAAGTTGACATGTCCAAAACGAATCAATCCTGCGAGGCTTCCTCAAAAATTGCTGTACTTCGAGTGATCCCCACCGTGACAAGTTATTTTGTCATAGCTTCCGACATCCCATCTGGAAGTATATATGGCATATATATTTTCTGACAATTATTTTCTGGCATTCGATCTGACATTCTATTCTGACATTTTATTATGGCGTTCTATCCGGCATCTATTCTGACAGTCTTTCCGACATTCTATCTGACATTCTATCTGGCCATCGACATGCCTTTTGCGTGGCAGGCGTGGATTGATGCTCACTTTGCGTGGCAGGCGTGGCACTTACGGCACTGGGCTGGCCCTGGTGGCGCGCTTGAGTCGCAGTTACACACACACAACTCCGTCACACACAACTCTGTCAGACACAACTTGACACAACTCTTTCACACACAACTTTGTCGCTCACAACTCTTTCACACGACAACTCTTTCGCACACAATTCTTTCACACACAGCTCTTTCACACACAACTTTGTCACACACGCACACACACAACTCTTTCACACACAGCTGTGTCACACACAACTCTTTTGCACACAACTCTCTCACACGCAACTCTTTCACACACACACAACTTTGTCACACACACAACTCTTTCACACGCAACTCTGTCACACAAAACTCGTTTGCCCACACCCCTTCCACA